GGCATGCGGCGCCGAGGTCCCTGGAAAACGGGGAGCTTGTGCCTGGCGCACGGAGCAGCCGATAGCTGAAGAGATAACGAGACCAGCTCAGGGCTCTGCAAGAGCAATCATCTCGGAACAAAAAGAAAATGGCAAAAGATCTGTTGCGACAATCGATGGATATGAGAGAGATGCGGGAGATGACGAGGGAACCGATGGCATATATATCCCAGAGCACCATGTTGTCCTCCTCTTGGCGACACCATGGCCTATTGGGCAGCTCCCGGCCATGTCATGGTTGGCTGAGAACCTTGACAAGCGTTTGATAGCAGCTCCCGGGCCTGGAGACGATGGTCCTCACCTCACTTTACGAACAACTCTAGGCCCTTCAATCGATTGCTTGAATTTGAGATTATGATACCGCGCCCGCATTACGCATTACAGTTCATGTGTATCTTTGATATACGTCAAGACAAACAGCGTCAGAACAAGAGACATCTACTACAAACTTCCCAGCTATCAGAGGAAAGGACACAATCCAAGAAGAGAGACCTAGAAAGAACGCCAACACAGCAACCAAAAGCCTACTCTTTCCGCGCATAAAACGTCAGGTTCTTTCCCCAATCATCAATGAGGTCGCCGGCATTTTCAAACCTACCCTCGTCATCCGGCGACAGACAATCGTCCGCAAACTCCCGACCCAGCCAAGTCGCATCCATACACTCCAGCATCCTTCCAACTCGCGGGGTCCAAGTATCGAGCGCCATGATCTTCCCCTCCTTATGCCACGGATGGCTCAGTATCTCCGCAGTGATGATTGCCGCGGGACTTGTCGGAAAACACATATCCGCAGCGACCTGGAAAACCGGTAGGAAGGCGGGTTGGTAGAGGCTTATCAAGAGCGTAGAGGGCGTGATAGAGAGGTATTGGTACGGCTCTGATACCACCGTGATGGGAGGGTTGCACTGAGAAAGCATGACCATATCCTCGCGTTTATAGGCTGTGTCGCGAGCTACAATTGGGATTGGGGTTGGTGTGGAAGACGTGGTGGAAGTGGCGGCGTACCGCTGCGATAGGTAGGTTGAGATGGCGCAGGCAAGCACGTGCTGTGTAGCTGAAGTATCTTCCTTTCTGCCTTCCTCCTCTGTTCCGTGCATGGTTCCGAGGGCTACGCAAACAATGTTGTCGACTGGTACGGTGAGAGCGTCAAGCTGCTCTCGTACGCTGGCCCAGAATCTACTTCGAAGCATGGATGTCTCTAGGGCTTTCGGGATTCCTTTGTACTCCTCGGAAGTAGAGCAACGCAGGCTCGCCTGCTCATGTGTACTCTGGAGGCTATCGGGCTTCAGCGCCCTGGTATCACTGAAATCGTACTTAGTATCCTGGTGGTGGGGAGTCCTGATGTGATACGCTGGACGCATTATGTCAGAAGCAGCAATGAAGACCCCGCTGAAACCCAGGCTGACCGCGGGTGAGGCACACGGTGGAACACGCTTCTTCACTTGTTCACCACCTACTACACATGGTATAAACATGAACGGCATGTTTGGATCACCCTTACGAATTATCTCGACTTGCTCTGCTGCTTTTTCGAAGAACGCGCGGGTGAAGAGTATTCCGTTGTCCAGGGAGGCTTCAAAAGCCCTAGCATCTTCAAAGACTTGCGGACTGTATGATTGGCATTGCTTTTCTCTGTCGTCTTTGATGCGTTGGGCCATGTCGCTGCGTTCTTTCCTAGACGAGGAAGATGTGGGGTTTGCGGGAGCTTCTGCTAGTCCCGCAATTTCTTTCTGGGCTGACATGATGTAGTGGGTTTAATAGTAGATTCTCAACTGCTGCTTGATGAACACAAGACTGGTGCGGAGAAGAAGAACTAGACAGCGTGCCCTTTTTGCACAGCTCAGGAGAACATGGTTGCAGATCCGAGTTATAATTAACCCGAGGGGCGATGGATCCTTCACAGTGCTTAATGTCGAGTGAAACAGTGAGCTTGTGGGTTTGTTGAGCGGAAGGCTTTGACGTTGGGACTGTGAAGAATAGATTTCGAAGCTTCAAAGAATACAAACGTTCATCAGGTGGTGAGAGTCTGGATAAACATACGTGCATTCACTGGCGCGGTGATAGCATTAGGTCCATGGCGGTAAGTCTTCGGGGTCACCAAGGTGGTTAGTAACCCAGAAATCTGAGATGTAAAAGCTTCGTCTTAATGAACCCCCACAACACTCCTTCACTTAAACTGATCCTCCGTAACACCCTTCCCCATAGCCGCTGTAGAACTAACACCACCCGACACCATCTTCAACAGATTATCCACATAATTCGCGCCACTCCACTTCTGATGCGTAAGCACATCGACCTTGTTCTCCGCCTCCGGCTCCTGGATGATCTCGCCATAAGCGCGCATACCCTGCTTCGCATACGCCTTGGAGAACGTGTCAGCCATGAGCGCGCTCTGGTGCAGACCCGCAAGCGTGATGAACTGCCAGCAGTAACCCAGCTTGGCCAGGCGCTGGATGTAGGTTTCTTGCTCGTCGCGGGGCATGGCGGCTTTCCAGTTGAAGGAGGGGGAGAGGTTGTATGCTAGTCTGTCGAGATTGTTAGTGTGTGTGAGAGGGGAAGTGGGTGGAAGAAGACGTACTTCTGCTCGGGCCAAACGGCATGCACGCCATCAGCAAACTCCTTCGCTTGCGCGAAGTCGGGCAGCTTTGACTCCATCCATATCATGTCGCAGTAGGGCGCGTACGCGATGGCGCGGTTGATGGCGGTTTGGCAACCGCCTTGGTACCTGTAGTAGCCCTCGCGCGTCCTTGCGGCGTCCCAGTTGAAGTACACATCGACGCCGGTCAGGCCTGCGGCGATAGCGCGAGCTTCTGAGTTGCTCTTGCCCTTGCTTTTCTCCATGAACTCGGTAATCATGCTTTGCTTGTCGACATGTACACCAGCGTTTATCGTGTCGATTACGGCCTCGTGGTATAGTTTGAGGTTGGCCTCCTTCGTCCATGCATCTTCGATCGCTTGGAGCTCCGCGCCGGTCTTTCCGGCTTGTTCGGCGGCGTACATGAGCTCGCCCAGAGGCTGGAGGGCAGGGTTTGTGCAGCCTAGAATGTAGTGGTGGTCGCGTGGGTCAATGGTAGAAGTGATCAGGGTAGCGGCTTCTGAGTCGGTTCTGGCGACGGCAAGCAGGTCGGTGCCTGTCATTCGAACGTTAGCCTATGTCCAATTTGATGGTTGGAGTTCATCATCTTACCCATGATATCTGCCTGCGCTCTGATAGCGACTAGACGGTTGATATGCTCGCTGATCGGAACCAACACCTTTCCAGCCATGTGTCCGCACTTCTTTGTTCCTGGCGCTTGGTCCTCGATATGTATACCCGCAGCACCCTTCTCAATGAACAGCTTCGTAAGCTTCATGATAGCTGTGAGACCTCCATGTCCAGTATCGGCATCTGCGATGATCGGTCGTAGGTAGTCCACGCTGGCGACTTTCGCACGGTCGGCTTTCGCGGTGGTCAAGCGTTCTTCCCGTTGCTTTCGGTCGTGGAAAAGCTGGGCCATGAATAGGTGGCCAACTTTGTTGGGGACGGTTGTCTTTTGTTCGTCAGCTTTCGTTGCCCATCACCATTCATTTCTGTGACTTACGTAGGGGTAGTCTGCTAGATCAGGACCTGGTTCGTCGGTCGATGAAGCTGTTGAGGATGCTTGCCATCCAGAAACGTAAACAGTGTCTAGATATTTCGCCATCTGTGTGACCATGACAGGGTCGAGACACCCGTATGTGTAGCTGACATCGTTGTTCTGCATATTGTTAGCTTGAATGCTTGACCTGTGGCATGACTATCATACCTTGAAGCGTCCTTCCACAATCTCCCAGAGTTTCTTCGACTGGTGATTGCTTGGGTAGGTGATCTTGAGATTACCTCTCTTCGAAACGATATCCTCAGCAGTAAACGGCCTTCTCGTATACCTCCATCTTGAGTCCGTCCACCACTGCTTGACTTCCTGAACTTCCTTCTGGAACTGCGCGTCCTCGGCGTCAATGTTCGCCATGATGAGTGATGTCTAAGACGTGTAACAACAACAAAACAGCTAGGTTTTTCGAACACGACTGGTGTGTGTATGAAGAAATATGAATAAAAAACAAGAGGGAAAGCTCGTCCTTTGATAAAGATGACCAGCAATGACACCACACTTACTCTAGCCTCGGTCTACGCAGCCAGGAACCTTGGGGGGAAAGCCAAGCGTCTTATAACCATAGCCATCAGCATACTCACACCAGCACGGCTAGCACAGCACCCCAAGTGAGCTCGGGGACGACCGGCTGGACGCACCATTGGCCCGACTGCTGCATCCTCGGAAGCTGGCAGCAACGTCTAGCGCTGGCCATGGCACTTGCTCGAGCGTTGTTTTGCGTTGCCCTCGGCCCAAGGGGAATTGACGTTTTGGAAGGCTGACCAGTGTAGATCGGGGGTGGGGATGGGGGACCAGCGGAACCGTGACGGGGATGACGTTTGCCAATGGTCTTGGGTCAACTCGTTACAGACAGAGCTGCATCCTTCGTTATCATCCTACTCCTATATCACAGTTCCCATCTCGATGCACTGAAGATGCTGTTCGGCATGACACGCGACACTATGCTGCAGCTTCACATGTCGATGTTCCGTCGCTCTGCTTAGCTGGTTTTCTGGTGCATGTGAAGACGCACGCCAAAATCTGGGGTCGCGTGTTCGTTAGCGTCGCGCGGGTTTTACCTCGGTTGATCCTGTCCGGAAAAGGCCTGAACCGCTATTGATCTGCGACTTTCACGAGCAGGCATCTTCGCTGTTTAGGGCGCTTTTGTCTCGGAAAACACGTGAGTGGTGTCATTGTTGCGTCTGGAATATCTCGGATAAGGCTCGCTCGGCAGCAGTGACGATCCCGGCATATGCTCGTGGCTGGGCGTTGCACCGCCATGTGCATCACCGTTATAAGGGAAGTATGTTGACGAGTTGGATTGTAGTTAAGAGGAGAGCGATCTACGTTTCATTTGTAACCCTTCAAGGATTCATACATATGACACGAGTACACCGCCAACATGCTCTTCCCCAACGACCACCAACCCCAGTAATCCATCGCAAGCGCGTTGGAGCATGCCGACCAATCCCTTCTCATCACCAAACCTTCTAGACATTCAGCTGACAGCAATCCCGGCGTCGAGCCACCCCAACTCATCAGCTGCCGAGCAGCGACATAACACAGCAAGACACTGATAACCAAATCCACAAGCCCAACTATCTCTGTGAACCCAAAACAAAAGCGCTGTGCCAAGAAAAGCTTGGTAACGGTCCTCCGGTACTCACAAGCGTACTGCTGCCCGAAGTAACCCCGGACGTATCTATCCAGCTCAGAGAATGGCCTGGCGCGGATATCATCTACATTGACCGCGGGATTTTGCGGCGTGACTGAGTATGCAGGGTCGGCGGGTGGGCACCTCAACTTCTTGAGCAACCACCATCTCAGCTCGTCGAGGTAGCTTCTTCGGACTGGTGGCGTGTCCTCGTCTTTGAGGCGTATCGATGAGCGTTTGGAGAGTAGCAAAGGTAGGAGCTGGGGACGGCACAACCATAATGTCCTGTTCCGTTCGTCGGTGAAGATGCATTCGCGATCGATAGCCTCGGATATGTAAGTGTAGTGGATAAGTCGCGAGTAGAAAGCCGGTGTAAGCACACGAATCTCGATGTTCTTGTACGGTCGGTTTCGACCAGGGACGTGTGTCGTGGCGATCTTGTCGGTGGGGATGTTGGGAATCGACGCTTTGAACGTGATGCAAAAGTCTACTTCGGTCTGGTTTACGAGTACGTGAAGGTAGTTTCTGAATACTTTGTACAGTGTTCTGGGATTGTTAGTCGCATTCGGGTAGTGCTTTACCTGTACTTACATCTCAGCGGAAGTGGGAGGCCGACCAACGCTCGACGTTAGCACCTCCGGCCGGAACCACACGTGCAATTTCCTCTTGAAAAAGATCTTGCCAGCTTCTCTGACGATGCGCGGGAACGTTACAAAGCCTACCCACCACCAGCTCAGGATGAACCGCAGAGTTCCGAGGAAACCCAATTGATCCGGATCAATGGCCTTTCCGGTAGAGAAGAGGCGAGCTACAAGCTTCCCATGGTCCTTGGAAGACTTCAGGGTAATCGTGTTGTCGATCAGAGGGTTTTCGTAATCGACAGAAGGAAAAGGGTTTTGGGCTTTCAGGGCATACGAACCCTTTCGAGAGTTGAACGGCGAAACATGGAAATCTTTCATCCATACATCGGTAAACTTCGACTTCGCCCGAATAGGTACCTGCGATCCGTGTTCTTCGGATCCAGACGTTTGTTCAGAATCAGATGTGCGCGGCGGACTGGCAGGGCTTGATCCGTCTAGCAGATACATGCGTCTTTCTCCAAATGTGTTGTTGACTTCGAGTATCATCTTCACAAGCTGATTTTCGCGATCGTAGATATACCAGAACGAAACCGGATTGAATGCGTAGCCCAAGAAGCGTGGTGCCGTCACCAGATAGGCATACTCCCATTCCGCATCTTCGACATGCTGAGCCCGCAAGTACGAGCTCAGCTTCCAGTAGAATCCGGATGCGCCGCCACCTCGTTCCAGATAATCCTCCGCTCTTATCCGCAACCACCATTTACCCAAAGTCTGGTCATCCCCGCTTGCGAACTCTATCCCCTGGTATTTAGCTCCGCTTGGGACGATGGGAAATCCGCACTGAAGGTATGAGTATGCGAAAGCATGGCGCTTCGGAAAGATTCGAGCATGCGACGTTTGGCACGGGAAGATCTTCGGCTTTGGCGTTTCCACATCAGATCTCCATCGACTGATATCAGGCGTGTTCGCAGTAGGGTCGTCGTTGCTACGAACGCTGCGCCAGGCGAAGAATGCGAGTAGAGCTAGCGGTATCGCGATACTGAAGACGGCATATGTACCAGGCAACCCTTCAGCCCAGCCCCTCCAATCGTTCCAGCTCTTCAACACAGTCGCAACCAACTTCTCTCTCGCCAACCAAGCATACAAAACCCCAAGCACCGCGCAATCCGAGAGGACCCCGCGGTCTCCACGCCGCCGTCTGAAAACACATCCTCCGATCCAAACCGCGAGCATCAGTACCTTTTGCCACCCATCCAGAGCAGCAAAAAGCAGTGGCAACCCTACGGCCGCGCATTCGAAAAGGGAAACTCCCAGATCGCGACCGTTACTAGCAATCCGCATTAATGAACGTTTCTGTTAGTATCACCGTGACATTGAGGGAAGTTGTGACGTGGATCGTTGTGGTGCGATAAATGTCAGATCGAAGCGTGGTTTGACGCTAGACCCATCTCATGAAATGTATATGCAGGGTCCCTGAGTAAAGCATAGCCGCCGCGAGAATTTCCCCATCTGGAGTTAGTCAGGGCCAGAGCCGCATTGTCGAGGACGGCGAAGAGCTTTGATGAGAAGGCGATGTAGAGTTTTTGTTTGAACGCCGACTTGTAGAGCTGGTGGGAAGGAAGACAGGATGCTGAACCGTTGAGGAAGGTGGGTCTAGAGCTATCTCGGCGATATGTGCGTCATCGGGGTTAAGTCGGCACCTGGGCATCATCATCAAAGCTATCGCTATCATACCGAATGCTCAAGTACAATCTCAATAATCAACCCGGACTGAAGCCAGGCCTCAAGTTAAGTTAAAGGCACACTCTATTTCCCAAGTCGGCGCCATCGACATCTGAGACCTCCACCGCCTCCCCTCCGCCTTTCTCACCCACCCAAAGTCGGTCAGATGGAGAACATCAACATGTGCCGACCACGACCATCTGTGCCTGTCTTCAGAATTTCCGTCCTGTATCCCAAGCCGCGAGAAGCGGGCATTTGTCGTTCAATTTGATTTACCCATCTATTTGTGAAAGCACGCTGGAAGATATCAGTGCTCGCTCGAGCGCGACGCGACGCGACGCCGTCTACCGTCTACCGTCTACGCGATTACCGGACTTCGAGCCGGCGCCACGATTTGGAATGGCACCTCTTACACAAAAGCAACCAGCAGTGCCGACGCATGCATCACCTCTCACCCAATACTAACCCAAGGCGCAAATGCTGTTATTTCATCTGAACGCCTTCACCCTTCTCGTCCCCATACAACGGATCAGGAATATCGATTCCCCCTCCGCGCCCAAGCACATGCCCCAAACCGCGGGGGGTATAATCACAGTATCGACAAATCAACTTGTCTCGAATACTAATCGCGTAACCGATGGTTACACTGTACTCCACGTTCTGGGGCGGCTTATCTCAGCCGAGAACCAGGTTCGGCCACGAGAGCGGTGTTGGTCGCTGACGGGTAAGCGATTTGCCCACGCAATGAACAGTGAAATCCGGTCTTGGCTTGTATTGCATGGCTGGGCAGGGCGTTTGCGAGCTGCGATTGCACAGCTACCCTGATACAGGCTCTGGACGTTTCTGCACGTAGCTTTTCTTACACACTCGTAAAATTGAGAGGTCTCGAATGCTACCTCTGATCAGCGCAGAGAGCCTTGCCGATTCTCTGGTGGTATTGCCGGCACACTGGAATCAGGAACTGTCGGTCCAGAAGCCAGCGACACAGGCCGAACGAACACAGGCGTCGGACTTGTAAGCGCACGAATACGCGCCCTGAGCTCTTCCTCTTCCGCAGGATTACCGATAGTGATTCGGTCCCGAGCTCCGTCATCTGCATCTTCCTTGGCTGGAAAAAAGGCCCTCGTCGGCATCTCCAGGGTACTGATGCTGTCTCTACGGAATCGCAAGTCTCTGTCGATTTCCACGGCAGGGAGTCCGGGAAGCGAGCTGCGCGCCCCGTAGTAATAGTAAGGGCTGCGGGATTGACGGAAGCCGAGTATTCGGTTCAAGATACGTTTGAAGAGAGGTTGGATGGATGGTGCTGATGCGCAGATGATGGCTGTGTTGATCTCGACTTGGGACCTAGAGTGCGATCAGTAGCTGTCTCGGATCTACGTGCTGTGCGAGTTTTACTTACCAGAAGATGATGTAACCCCCATAGTACCGAGCGTGCAATCCGCTATTGGCCCAGAGGTTCAGCCCGCAAAGCCGTACTGCAGATGCTATCGGAATGAGAAGGCTTACAGCAAACACTGCTATGACGGATAGGCGTTTGGCTGTTCGCATGCGCAGTGAAAATAGAAGGGGCATGGGGAGAAGTAGAATGACGACGTCGGATGCGATACTCCAGCCTGCTTGCCAGTACAAAATGATCTTCAAGTCGAAACAGTGGATGGAGCCCCTGTCTCGCAATATAGCAGCGCCGAAAGCGACGGAAGGCTTTTTGGGACATTGGAAGGCGATAATAAAGATCAAGATGATCGTCACAGCGGTGACGATGACGATCGATATGTAGACTAGTCTTCGAAAGGTTCGTTGGGTTGCAAAGCCGAGGTAGACTGGAGGTGTAGGGATTAGATTGACGTGCATTTGGGCGACGTAGTCAAGGAATATACTTACAGACCAGTATTGAGAGCTTGATGAGACCCATTATGAACTGATAACCGATATGGTATGCGTACCCTTCTAACAGTCAGAATGATATTGTATTTGCCAACACAGCTACTTACATGTCGCTACAGCACCTAAGGCGTTGCGGTCCAATTTTAACTGCTCTGCTTTGACCTTGTGGTTTGCTTAGCATGTTGCTGTAGCACGTCCGATGCTTCAAAACACTTATCCTTACCTTTGATCTGACGCCTGGGTTATAATCAACCCCGGAACCAAATAAGAACTGATAATGGTTGCAGGCGCAAAGCCCCCAAGTGAAGACCCACGGTCGATTAGTATATGACAGTTCATAACCTGGTTTCAACTTACTAATGCCGTTGCCATTAAGTAGTCACTTAGATTAACCTTTCTGATGATCCATCCTCGCACGTAGAACCTGATATTGATGAGCACAATGGGACAAGGGTAGAACAACGAGTATAGAAAACGAACCGAACAGCGATCACTACTGTCGAGAGGGCCACCAGGACGAAAGCTGTGATTTCGATAGTGGGCCGCAGATCGTTTGGACTGAACATCTTGACTGCACCCATTCTTGCCCGGCATCGGAATAGTGACGTTGTAGTGGGAGTTGCAGTACGGAATGGACGTTTGCAAATGAGGGCATGGACGACCTGCCGTCAAGTGTACGATACGAAGTACCAAAACTCGTTTCGATGCCCGGCACGGGATGATGATGAATCGAAGGACTGGGAATACCCGTACACTTAGCGAGCCACGAGGTAAACCACGGGCTGGGGACTTGCGCTTTGGTAGCGCCACGATCATCTTGAATACCTAGTCGAGCAGGGCGTTTATCGGCATTCGCGAATCCGTATACCCCACGACCGGCAACCACCATAGGCGTCAGTATGTACCCATGTCATATCGGTATCTGTCAGATGGTGCATTTACTGTGATTAGTACCTTGTGCTCCCAGCTAGGACGTTGTATATTGGAGAAATGAAATGATGGAGAGCGATGTTGGCCAATCGATCAAGCTGCTGTGTACGTTCACGCTTCTGCTGAACTTCATGGCAATTTCCGGGAGGTGTACCACTTCTTCACGGAGTTCGGCTGTGCTGCTGAGCTGACACCGGCATCTACTGACTCCTGCGTGTCAGGTCATGCAGGCGCAGACGACAAACTTTGCAAAAGTGGTAGGCCAACCAGAATGGCGAAAGCCGATGCGGCGCAGTTGATGATGGCTCTCATCTCAACAAGGTTCTGGAGTGAGGTGCGATCGAACGTGTTCACGTGCTTTCTGCAGGTTTGTATTGGGCGCCCGATATCAACGTGATGGATGATGCCTGCAACTCGGGGGGTATGATGAGGATTTGACCATGCACTTAGCATATGCGTGAGGCGGGGACGGCTTGTGATGCTATGCCACCAAGGGATGATACCGTGTCTGGCCCCCCATAAATGTAATTACCCGTGGCTAGTCCGATGTTGGTGTTTGGCGGGTTCAGCCACTACGAAGCGAGTAGCCCCACGGCGCGGCTTGGAGCTGACTGGACGAGTTTGCCTTGCGAGTGCGTCAGAACCAAGCATGAACCGTGAGAAATTCTGCGTCCACGAGACTCGCCCGATTGTTGGAGCTTTGCCATAAACTGTCGACGAAAGGTCGAACTCTCGATCGGGAGCAGGGATGTTAGACATGGTAATCGAGGCCTGGTGAGCGATCACAAGAACTTGGTTCGACCACATGGAGGGGACCGCGGAGAAGAAAAGCGTGGAAGCATGATGGAAGCGCAGAGGTCATTCAACGTGAATGTCCCGCATGCATACGCATGGAGGGATCCGGAGAGCGACCAGGCGTGCCAATGAACTGTGCCGTCACCAAGCATAGAAGAGTGGCATTTCGATCAGCGAGCGGAAATGATGGTGAGCGTTTGATCTGAAACCTGAACGAGACTCGTCGCACGTTGAAAGGCGTTGTTGTTGGCGGGCATTGGCAAGGCATTGGACAGCGGGCGCGCGAGATGAGCTAGGGGAAGCGTTCTAGTCTCCCAGGCACATTCAGGGTCTTGGGCATACGTCAGCACGCCGTGATGATCAACAACCCAAAGCACGAGGAAGAGGAGATTGTCAACACAGACCTGCGCAGTGCTATACTACGTGCAAACTTCACTCATACAGTCTGATTGAATTCCTTGTCATTTTCCACCACTGAGCGTATTGATATCATTCACTGTAGCGCAAGAGAGCCCAAGGCCTGTTGATTAAAGGTCAAGGGTGTATCCCACTCGGCAACTTCCCTGAACTTGGAAAGCGACGATAGCCACCGCGTGACGACACAGGGACAGGTTTATTGCTTGCCATAGGCCCGACTCGCAGCTTCTTGTATAGGGCGCCCATCTCGCCTCTTGCGCAGTTTTCCACCTCGCGACACGAACAGAGCAGATATCACCATGAGCGCAACCAACACGGCAGCCGCAGCCCCTCAGCAGCCCAACCCGCCCGCATCCGTCACACCCGCATCGAGCGCGACCAAGTCGACCGACGATGGCAGCATCCTGAGCAAGGGAAAGAAGCTCCTGGGCCTAGGCAAGAAAAAGGATTCAGAGGCCGGTAAACAGCCAACAGAGAGCGCATCAACAACCACGACTCCGACACT